GCCAAGAAAAGAAGGCATTTGAGGAAGGAAGGAGTGATCAACTGTGTCAAATGCGATCATAGATTCAGTAAAATAAGGATTGCAAATTTACTTTTGAGTTTGGTAAGGGCCTCACTGGTGAGCTTGAGAAGAGCTGCTGGGTGGAGCCGTGAAAGGCTGGTATGAATGAGTTCACGAGAGAATGGATGAGAGGAAGTGGGGACAAGTAAAGGCAATTCTTTCAAGCTGTGCTGCATCAGAAGCAGAGAAAAGTGATCCCTGGAGTCAATGCAAACTTGAAGGGAAATCTGCTGCTTTCAAGATGTATCCATAGGGGCCTACTTGTATCCTGTGAGGCTGATCTAATAGAGGGGGAAACTGGTGCGTGTGTGTGTGTGTGCAAGTGCACATACACTTGTGTAGGGGGTTGCTGAGCAATATCCTTTGAGTAGGTAAGAGGGGACAGAATCTAGTGCCCAGTGAAAAACCTGGTCTCAGAGGAGTACAGTTCATCCACAGTGACAGGAGAAAGACTGCGCACCTGGACACAGATACAAACAGGCAGCTAGATGTGGCAGTGGGAATGTGCGATGTTCTCTCCATTGCTTCTATTCTCTTAATGCACCAAGAAGCAGGGCCATCAGCTGAGAGAGGGGAGAGGTGCAAGAGGTTTGAGGACTTAGGGAAAGGTGTTAGGAGGTACTCTCTGGGCAGTGGACAAGGAAAATGTAGTAGAATATTAGTCTCAAGGTGAGACCACTCCATTTGGTTGTGGGTGTTTCTCCAGCCATGTCTAAGCCCTCAGGGCAGATGCTGAGCCAGCAGAAATTTACTTACCCAAAAGTGGGGTTTTGTCAGATGAGTAAGACAGGCGGGGTCAAGGCACTGAGTGTGTGGCCCAGGAAGTGGTTACAGCAGCACGTGGTATCTGCGCTGCAGTTGAGGGTGTGCTTACGTACATGATGCACACTGGAAGTTCTTCTGTCACAATTGGGACCAGTGGTTGTTCAGTTATTCTTAAAGTGTTAAATAGATGTGACAGAGGCTGCTGGTTGGTCCTGTGTTCCTTCTTCCATGATAATGAAACTTGACTTTTAGGAAGGTGTCTGCTCATTTAAGATAAAGAGAACATTTCTCAGTCTCCTTTAAGGCCAGGGTTGACTACATCCCCACTCTCTGGACTATGGTATATGATCATAAATGTTATGGGACAGCTCCCAGGAACCTTTCTGAAAGGAGATGAAACGCCCCATCATCTGGAGGATACGAGCCTTTCATTCATCTGACTGCCTGGGGTATGGTGCAATGACTGGAGGTCTGGTCTCCCAACACAACATGAGGATGTGGGCCACAGCCCAGAAACCATGGGAAGATAAACTGAAAGGAACCGAACATCCTTGAGGCTTTGTGGAACAGAGCTGCCATACCGGTTTATACTGTGCATCTTTAGGCTTTAACAAGAGAAAAATAAAATTCTATCTGTTAAAAATCACTGTCATTTGGTGGCTCTATTTCTCATAGCTGAACCTAATCTTAACTGATATTTTGGAGGAAATTTTTAAATTAAAAAAACCATTATCTATTTTAAGTATTTTCTTTTAACTTGTTTATCACTTATAAATGGTCATGTGTCCACTAGTGATTTGGTGTAAGGACAAGTCCTTTTCTTTGAGTATGGGTCCACTGGTTAGCACTCCACAAAAACTACACAAACCCATAAGCACTGCTAAGATCACCTGTTTTGGTTTCTCCAAAAGTAGGTGAAAAGGCAATCTAAATGCAGAATTAGAATTAAACTTAATTCCACAGTATTTTTTAGCAACTCATCTTTATTAAGTCTTTCCAAAGCACTCACCTTGGTTTTCATAGAAATAACTTCCTTTTGCCACTTATATTTTATCAGTTTATAAATTCAATTAAACTAGGTATTTACCCTATTTTCATCAAAAATGCTTTTTCTAGCCCTCCTGTTTTACTAGTTTATACAATGTTTAACTGAATTACGCAATCACAAACACAAGTGGCAAAAACAGCTTGGGAAAAACACAACTGAACTTGGAAAGCATGTACACCAACTGTGGGAGCCAGGCTTCTTTGCCCATCAGTCCCTTCTGATGTCTGATGGAGGGAAAATAGAGAACATTAGTTATGTATTCAGAGGGTCAGAAAGTACAGGTCAGCTCTCCTTCTCAGTGTCTTTTTAAGTTTATATAGTTTCAAAACAGAATTGTGATTATACCTTTAACTTTGTAAGTGCAAGAGCAACTCTTATACACTGTTGATGGGCATGTGATCAGGTACAAACAGCCTGGAGGTGAAAATGTCATAGAATTTTGATTCAGCGAAGACATTTTTAATAAAGAATCCTAAGGAAATAATTAAGGATATTGGTAACAATTTTACAATTGTTTATCACATCATTTTTTATTTATTTATTTTTCTTTGGTGTTTTTTTTTACAACAGTAAGCTGGAAAAACCAAAATGTTTCCAAGTCAGTGATTTTGCGATGAATTTTAGAAGTCCACAGATTGTAATATAGCTTTTCCTCTTATGTTGTACAGTGCAAGAGACATTTCCAAAAGAATTCCTATAATTATCCTGCTCTGGGGGAATGCTTGAGATTGAATGATTCAATTGGACCATGTGGGTAGGTCTGTGAGTTATGTTAGTCAGTCTAGTTTCCTGTTACAAATGCCAACCACATCCTGATAGAAGCATTTTTCTGTCTGGCACCAAATAAACGCTTTAAGTCCACTCTAATTTAAAAGCAACCCTATAAAGAGCTACTATAATCTCATTAAATTTTTTTTTTTAATCTTCAGGCGAGAATATGTTTTTATTGATTTTTAGAGAGAGGAAAGGAGAGAGAAACGTCAATATGAAAGAAAAACATTGATCAGTTGCCTCCTGCACACCCCTTACTGGGGATCCAGCCTGCAACCTGGGTATGTGCCTTGACAGGGAATCAAACTGGTGACCTTTTGGTGCATGAGATGATGCTCAAACAACTGAGCCATGCTGGCCAGGGCTGTTAGAGAAAAGAAATAAAACTGAGCTCAGGGAAGTAATTTCCCCAAAGTGACTGGTGGAGTTGGATTCAAGCCCAAACCTGACTCAAAATCCCACATCTGTCACTTAATCATGTAGATAAAAAATGACCAGGCCTATAGTTTCCTCTTTTGGTGCCTTAAAATGCACACACATGCAGGAAGTGATACATTTGCACCCATATATGAATGTTGCTTTGAGTTTTTTATTCCCATTACTTCCATTGATTTGTTGGAAGAAATGTATGCATCAGAAGCTCAGCCAAGAAAGCCGACTTGCCTTCTCTTTCTTCCACACTTTGACATAGGGTCATTAACGTTCAACCCGACACCCGAAATGGTGAGCATGAAAGTGTACACACTCCTCCTCGAGCTTTCCTGGAAGAGTCAAAGAACTGAAGACGGAAAAATACCAAACATGTAACAAGGCAGGGCCTTCAAGTTGGCCTAGAAAAGCAGAATATTTTTGAGCCAAAGAAACAGAAGAGAAAGAGGATTACAATGGAGACTCACTGGCAGTGCATTAACTATATAAAAGAAAGCACTGAAGCCCAGAGAACAAAAGCAGTTGGCTCCTCAAAGCTCAACCTTAGACCAAATAGGACTTCCACATATGTCTCCAAGGAACCTTCTGCTCCAGTCCTCTACAAGAAGAGACCAGATCACCACCACCTAACAGATCTCCTGTGAGCTCTTGGCTACAGAAGGGGGCAATGTGGTGATTAAATATTCTATTTCCCCCATAGCTGCTGGCTAGGCAGCTTAAAGGGCTCATGTAGGAAAAGCCCCAGCCATGACAGAAGGAAGATACTAAAGGAAGGCATATCCACCCAAAACCTCTGAGGTTACCTGAAAATCAAGAGGATGTGCTCCTACTGAGCGCTTATTGTGGTCCATCCCTGTTCCAGAGGGCGCTGCCTAAACTCACAGCAAAGGGAGTTATGACACTGGCATCTAATAACCAGAGACACTGCTGCAGAAGGCTTGCCCTCACCACTTAAGATGTCCCACCTTTGCTGAACCAGGGAAAAACCTAGCCCTGTGGACAAAGGAAGGGGGCAGAGAAGCTGCTTCTCCCGGGCCTATACATTGGAAGGATCAAAAGTGTGATGACCTGGTGAAAAGAACAAGACTACAGACCCATGAACTAAAAAAGGCCAGCATGGCCAGCGGGCATTGGGATCCGAGCCAAGTGGGCGAAACCGGTGATGCTAGCACAAGAGACAGAGGTGTGCCTCTCAAACTCAAAGCTTTTGAAGTGTGATGTCGCCTGTCAAGTGTCAAAGAGGCCATTATTTAATAAATTCTTACTTCTATCTTTTTTTCTTTTATCCTCACCTGAGAATATGTTTTCCACTGATTCTAGAGAGGAAGGGAGAGGGAGAAACATCAATATGAGAGAGAGACATTGATTGGCTGCCTCCCGTACACTTTCTGACTAGGGATTGAACGGGAACCTGGGTAATCAAACCTGTAACCCTTCAGTGCATGGGACAATGCTCTAACCAGCTGAACCATACCGGCCAGGGCTAACTTCTAGCTTACTATAAGGGCTGTTCTTCAGCAGTATTTGACTTAGTACAGTGATAATTCTCTGAGAATTATTAATTGCTCTTTTGAGAAATACTTCAATGGAAGCTAGAAGACTACTGCTACTTATTGCAGGGGTGAGGGTAGGAAGAACAAGTCCTGGGACCACTGTGTCACCTGAAGGCATTTGCAGGTGCTGGGAGGAGTCCCTGACTTCTTTGATAGAACCTATAGCTAGCACCTCATAACAACAAACAGGAAGCACTTGGCTAAGAATGCTCATGAGAAAAAGGGCACAGAAGGGCCTGAACCTGTACCTTCAGAGCATTAGGCCCAGGGTGGGGGAGTGAGATGTGGAATAAGAATGCAGACAAAGCAGCTCTGTTCACTTCCTCCAGAGACTCTCAGAATCTCTACTTTGTTTGAAAACAGACTCAGGCACGGGAAGGGAAACTAACATTTATTGAGCGCCTACTGTGCATGTCTGGCCTTGTGCAAGGAGTTTCCATCTACAACATTCCATTTAATCCTCACACCAACCTTGTGAGGTAGGTATTATCCTCATTTTTGTCAGACGAGGAATATGAGGCTCAGAAAGGTTAGGTAGTTTGTCCAAGGTCACACTACTAGTTACTGACAGAGCTGGGCTTGAGTACTGAGTCTCAGACTCAAAAATTCCCTGCTCTCTCTCCGACACTGCCCCTCAGGAGGAAGGAGGGAGCGAGAGCAGCAGCAGCAATCTTTACACTTCCCACAGTCAGAACCAAGATGGTCACCACGAGGAGCTTGTACTCTTCCACAGACCCTCCCCTCTCTACCTGGGGAGGAGGCAGTCAGTTGAAGAGATAAAACATAAATATAAAAATAAATAGAAGGGACAAGTCCCCCAGCAGCAAGGACATGCAGTATCCATGCTGTGGGAAGATCACTGTGCATAGCTGCTGTGGGAGGGAGCCACACAGGCCCTGTGCAGAAAACTGGGACAATGGCTGCCAAAGGCTGGAGTGATGGGCCAAACAGGCTCCTTCTGGGTCACATAGATTTTAGAACAAAACGTCTGGAGCAGGCAGCAGCCATGGGCACAGTCACCATCCTCCTCCATCTGCTCATTTTACCGGTGTTTGTGATCCAAGAGGGATTCAAAATCGGGGGAACACACAAGTTTGTGCTTTACATGTCCCAGGACTGTCATCTCCCCCGTCCTACTGTCTCCAAGGCCCACGGACACCAGCTCCTGCCAACAGACAGAGAAGGTGATGAGAACCAAAACCACATAGCCCATCAATCAGTCCCGATTTTAATGTGATAATTCCAAGAATCCTTCTCCCCCATTTAGCACTGATTCTCAACACTCAGCCTCTTAAAGGGCCTTTGCCCTTGAACCTACGGGCTCTTACCTGCAGGAAAGAGCAGGTGGTTCCCATTGTTACATCCAGAGTCACCTTGCCCAGGAGGAGCTGAACCTTTCCAGACTTGCGAATGAGCAGCTTGCCAACTTGACCCTCTGTCAGGTCAGCCAGGGTACAAGCATTCTCTGCCAGCCTGGCTTCCTGTGAGGAGAATCAGGGTATGGAGATGGGGTGTTTCCTCCATCCTTCATGAGCGAACCCTTTCCCAAAGGAAGGCATCAGCAACAAAAGTTAGCATAAGCTCCCCCAAAAGGGCCTTTTCCTAGGGCTGTTTGCCACTGGTTAAGAAACAAAACCCACAGCAAACGAATAAACAAATGGACAAAATATTAATAAATGCTGAAACTGGGTACATGAGGGTTTATGTTCTCTCATGTACATGTTCAAGTATTTCATTGTAAAAAGTAAACATATATATAATTGAGTTAGACATACAAAGCCTTAAGCCCCTTATGGGAAGAAAGAACAAATGCATATTATTCTTGCAATTCAGCTTGGGTGGGACACCACTGCTTCACCTTATAGGTCGCAACTTCCCTTCCTGATCAATCCCCCCGCATTTTCAGAGAACTCATTCTGAGCATACCCGGTCTTTTTCTTGCTTCACAACCACTATCTGTCCATCCTCACTCTGCATCTCTGTCTTGATAGGCTTGACGTCCTGAGTTGGCGGCTGGCCAGGGAGCGTGTCTGGTAGCTGGAGGAACAGCAGCTCTTCATCCTGTGTAAGGCTCAGTTCCCTGAGCAGCTCTGCCACAGACACGTCCTTCGGGAGGCCTGGGGTCTTTCTGGCTGCTCTGGGAGGAGCCTTCATCTTGGCCTCCTCATCCTCATCTCGTGGCTCCTCTTTCACTGCCCAAGGTAACACAAATGGAAGGGCTATCAAGTGACCACCCATGTCATCTCAACGCACCCATCCTTTTACTCCCAGCTGTCCCACTGTCACTCAGCCAGGAAGCTGAGAGAAACACTGGTTGTGAAGAGAGATCCAGGAGTTGTGTGACTTGTCTAATAAGGGGTATCTGTGGCTAAGCCCACTGGTCCATGTTAGCATGAACCCTCTGAGAGTGAGACTTTGGTGTCATTGTTCAGAACATGTATTTTACAGCTGGAATAGGAGAGGACCTGCTTATTAGCAGCAATCTGGGAGACCCATGGGGCAGGGGGAGGGGGGGGCAGCCGCAGAAAAGGAGACGTGACATTAACTGACACAGTACCTTTCACAACAGGCACATCCACCTCCATGTCCTCTTCCTTGGGGCCAGCCAGCCAAGGTTTAACATCTGGTTCTTCATTCTCTTCCTTAAACAGCCACCCGGAGTGAGCCAGAGGCAGCTGTACAGGCATGTTTCGAGTATCATTCCTCAGCCCAGGGTCATCGATGAACTGCCAAAGAAGAGCGAGCGGTTCACATGGCCTGGCCAGCATACACATATACTGGGATTGCAGTCCACTTTACCCTTTTCTAACTGAAGACTCCTCTGCTCACTAGGCTTCCAGGACATCAGAGAACAATTCTTCCTCCAACCCTGACTCCCATAGGTCCTTTCCACAGCCATAAAAGCCATGCCCCCAGCCTGCTGGTACCTACATCATCCTTCTCCAGCATGCGCAGGATCTGTTTTGTTTCTTCATCTGTCTCCCTCTTCTCCTTTTTGATGTTGATGATATGAGAGGGCCCCATGTCCGACACATCCACTGTCTTATCCCAGTTCCCTGTGGGAAATCACCCAGTTCACCAGGGGTAAGGAAAAGGCCAACAGCAAGGAAAGCTAAACTGGGAGCAGGGAATCCCTTGCCCTGCTCTCAGGCAGTCTGAACTGAAATTCCATTGATCCCTTCCTCCAGGAGCCCTAACAGCTTTTGTACCTTTTTTCTTCATCATTTCGGCTGGGCCCTGCTCAAAGATGGAATGGGACTGGATCACTTCTGGTCGACCCCGGCCCCGTCCATGCCCCTCTCGCTGTCGATCTCTATCCCTTTCACGCTTCTCCTTCTTGATGGCTATTTCTTCCTTAGGCCTGGAAAAGAGAATGGATTAAGGGAAACCCCTCACTTATCCTGCCTTGGAGAACCAGTCTTATTCTCCCACATATCTCCACTCCACCTGAGCCAATAACTACAACATGAGAAACAGAATCCAATCCTAAGTCTAATACCCTTCTCACTTCCTTGATGGGCAGAGTCCTTTCAGTTTGCTTTATCTTCTTGTTTGAGGGTATATATAGGAACTATAACTCTAAAGTTGAATTACAGAGACTGCCCTAAAACGAAAATTTTTTTTGGTATTGATTGAAAACAGGAATGCTGTAATGTAATAGAACTTAAGGGAAACCTTAATACATCTTTGTCTAAACTAGTGGTTCTCAACTCAGGCTGTAAAAGATAATCACTGTTTCACTGCAAACAAGTTGCATCACAAATTCTGGGAAGGACTCCCAAGCATCAGTATTTTTGTAAAGCTTGCACATTAGAAACAGCTGGGAGCCAGGGTTGAAAAGAACTAAATACACAAATTTAAATTTCTGTTCCACACAGCTAGTTATTTCCCAAAAGGTCCAAATTCAGAACAAGTAAATAAGGGGTGAGAATTCAGAAGGCCTAGCTACTTACTCTTCCTTGATCTTCCGACTGATGATATTTGGGGTGAAAGTTTTCTGAAAGTGAAATACAGGAGTCACTGATTTGGTAATTTCTGATCCCAAAGCACTGAGGAAAAGAAAAACTCCCAAAGGGGATCTGCTATGGACCAAGACCACCATGGTTCTCTTTTGTACATTCCACACTGTTGTCAGAGATTTCCAGAGATAGACACAAGCTTGAAAAGGAAAATTGTGAAGTCATGGTGGCAGAGTTACACACAAAAGGACACCAAAACCTATTTAAACTAGCAGCTTCAGTTCTCCCCTCTGAAAGGAGAGCTCCCAAGACTTCTAAAAGTAGAGGAATTTATCTAATCTCCCCTCCTGTCTTCAAACTGCTACAGAGAGCAGTCAGTATCCCAGGAAAGTGCTCAAGCTGGAAAGGCAGAGATCTGATAGTACTCACAATCAGATGATAGTTTAGACTGCCACCAGAATTTACCTAGGCAAACTTAAGTCTTTAAAAAAAAAAGGCTGCTTTATGCTTGTTAATGCCCCACTCCCTACTTTCAGGGCTACTCTTCACATCTAGTCCTAAACATAAGGGAAGAGAACACAGAGCCTCTAATGCCATGCCTAGAATTCATTATACTCTAGACCAAAAGTACACACACTGGGATTCATGGCAAATTCAGAACTCTGGAAAACTGCAGGCAAAGTTTATGCCTGTGTAACTTCTATGGGTTTCTTAAAGGTGTCCAAACACCAAAAAAGTAAATAAACATTGCTCAAGTTGCTTTTAAACTATTATTCTCTGCCCCGCAGGCATCTCTGAGAACCACGTCAAAAGCTTGTATCCAGCATCTAGACTTCAAGGTAGGGCAGGCTCCCCAGAATTTGCAGGCGAAGTCCGGGGACGAGATCCGTGAGGCCCTACACCAAATCTGGCACACGGTAGGCCTTACATGAACATCAGTTGAACCCCAGGGGGCCTGGAATTCAAGGTAGTCGGGTACCTTCTTGACTCCCCCGAGGGTGAGATCCCTGGAGCGGATGGAGGGAAGGCGGCCCGGGGTGAGGTGTGGCGCCGGCCGCTGTCCAATAAGCCCCCGGGCCCCAGAGAGGAGGGTGCGGGGCCCTCCAGGAGCGCTGGGCTCGCCCGCGGCTTTTCCTCCCGACATGTTGCCTGGGAGGGAAGAGGAAAGGGACAACAACGTCAAACGAGGGGATGGACACGCGGATCCTGGGCCGAACCCCACCCACCTGGTCGCTCGCCCCCCTCCCCGTCAATGCGTCCCTCCCCCGAATCTCAGCTCCTCCCCTCCCACGTGGCGACTCCCCGGACCACCCCAGCCAGAGCCCTTGGCGCGCCCTCTCCCCAGGTCCCGCGAGGCAGGGCCGCACCCCAGAGCACCCCGACGCTACACCGTGCGGGTCGCGACTTCAGCTCCGGCGCTGCCCGCAGCCGGCCCCAGGTCTCGGCGTGGGGCGGAAGTCTGCGTGGCGGGGCCCGGGCGCCGCCATCTTGCCGCGAGGCGGAAGTGAGGTCGGTGGGCGGGGCCGGCCACACTATTTATCCGGCGGCGCCCCGCTCGCCTCCGCCTTCTCTTCCCGGTTCTTCCCGGAGTCGGGAAAAGCTGGGTTGAGAGGGCGAAAAAGGAAGAGGGGACTGTACCTGGTTACGCCTCGGGGTCTCGGCCTAGGGCGGAGGGAGGCTGAGGCGCCCAGTTCTGCGCGTGGGGGTCTCGGCGGCCGCCGTCACGCAACGTGGGGATTCTCCGCGGAGGAGCTCTGGGTCACTGGGGTCGGCGCAGCGAATGGGGCGAGGGGCGCGGGGCAGAGATTGGGCCCCGGACTCACTCGGGGAGCCCTGGCCGGGCTGCGGGCTCGACGGTCACCTTGGAATGGTCACTGCACCTCTGGGCAGCGGCGTCGCCCTCTCTCGGGGGTCCCTTCCCTGGATTCCTGGTGGGGTCCTGGGGTGAGGCTGTGGGGCTGCGCTGGAGCCGCTGCAGCGGATCAACTGAGCACCTAAACGGTGCCCGCCCTGGGCTCTTCAGTGGGCTCTTGGTGCAAGTCTGGAACCTGGAAAACCAAGTTTGCTCTACTGGAAGGGACGAATTCAAAGAACTTTAATTGTGACTCCTACATTTGTAATTTAACATTGAAAATATCCTTGACTGTTACTCCCCCCACCCCCACACCATGTAAAAACCAGGGAACAACATTAGGTAAAGTTTGAGGGAAGGAAACACATTTCTACTTTAGTTCCACATGGACTACTATTAAAACTTTTGTAATGTATTCCAGCCTCCTTCACAGAGCTGTCGTATATTGTACTACAATTTTGAATCCTCCCTTTTCAAACATTTCTTTGTTGCTGTATCAAAAGGCTACGGTACTTCTCAGGTGGCTATATGGCGATGCCTGTTTTCCTGTTTGGACACTTAGTTTCCTTTTCCTGTTGTAAATAACGCTGCAGTGAACATCAGGTGCAGTTAACGTTTTTTCTTTTGGATTATATCCCTAGACGAAGTTCTAGACGTGTGATAACTGGCCACATGATGTACTTTTTTTCTTCAGTAATTTTTTTTTTATTTTGAGGTAATGGTAGACACACGTGCAGTTGTAAGAAATAATGCAGAGATCAAGTACCTGTTTTCTATTCCCAGTCAAGGCACATACCCAGGTTGTGGGTTCTCTCCCCAGTCAGGGTGTGTATGGGAGGCAATGGATTGATGTTTCTTTCTCTCCCCTCGCCCCCTCATCAATAAACATATCATCTGGTGAGGATAAAAAAAAAAGTAACATTGATACAGTCAAAATACAAGACAATTTCCATCACCATAAGGATCCTTCCTGTTGCCCTCTTATAGCCATGCCTTCCTCCCTCCCACCCATCCCTGGCAACCACTAATCTGTTCTCCATTTTTTAAAAAAATATATCTTTTTGATTTCAAAGACGAAGGGAGAGGGAGAAAGAGAGAGATAGAAACATCAGTGGTGAGAGAGTCATCGTTGATCGGCTGCCTCCTGCACACCCCATACTGGGGATCGAGCCTGCAACCTGGGCTTGTGCCCTGACTGGGAATTGAACCGTGATCTCCTGGATCCCAGGTCAATGCTCAACCGCTGAGCCACACCGAGCTGGGCATGGTCTCTATTTTTATACTTGTATTATTTCAAAAGTGGAAATCATTAAAAAATGGAATCATACAGTATGTGACTTCTTGGGATTGCTTGTTTTACTGAGCATGATTCCCTGGAGATTATCCAAGTTGCATTTATCATTAATGTGTTCTTTTTATTGCTGAATATCCATGGTTGGTTTAACCACACTTTGAAGGACATGTGGGCTTTTACGAATAAAGCTGCTATGAACATATATGTAGAAGTTTTTATGTACACATAAGTTTTCATTTCTCTGGGATAAATGTCCAAGAGTGCAATTGTTGGGTCAAATGGTACTTACATGCTTAGTTTTCTAAGAAATTGCCAAACTGTTTTCTCAGTGGCTGTATCATTTTGAACATGCACATTTTATATTTCTTCATCCATTTTGCTAAATTGTTTTAAAAAAGGGTTGTGCTAATATGCATCACCACTAAGAATGTACATGTATATAGTATGTAAGAATATATATAATATTTTCCACATCCTTTTGAGTCATGCTCTTAAAATTTTTGACAACTTAATAATATATTAATATTTTACGATTTCTAACCAGATTTTTTTCTGGTTAGAAATCATAACCAGATTTCTTCTCTTCTTACTTGGTTTTCTGATTACCAAACTTAACCTAAGAAAATCCCTTCCTGTCCCCTGCAGAACTACATACAGCAGCCTTTAGCTTCTGACTAGAGCACTAGAAGGAATTGCTTTGATTTCATTCTCTGGGCTTTGAGGTCCACCAACCTTTTAGCAACTCCTCAAATTTGTTTTATTTTTTTTTACAAAGATACTTATTCATTGTAGAAAATTTGGAAATTTTTAAAAAAGCACCCAGAAGAAAATTAAAACCACTTACTATTATCCCATAAACTGTTCTATTACTTGAAGTTGTTTTTCTTTCTTTTTTTTTTTTTGCCCTAACCTGGAATCGAACCCCAACCTCCTGGATCCTAGGTCGATGCTCAACCGCTGAGCCACGCCCTGCCGGGCGAAGTTGTTTTTCTATGCATGTAGATATTTAAAATTTGAGATATTTTGCATATAGTTCTTCAATCTTTTTTCTCTTAACATACTGTAAACACTTTCTGAGTTATTAAATATCCTTCTAAATTATGGTTTTTAGTGGCTAAATATTACTCTACATTGTTGTCTTGTAGAGTAACCAGTTTCCTTCGTGCAGTGCTTTTTGAGTTTTTCCAGATTTTTCACCCAAAAAGGACAAGAGGAGAGAAGACCTAAATCATGTCTTCCACCTTTAACATTTGGGCTATAATAATGATTTTAATTTCCCTTTAAGAAGATTCTTCAGCTCAGGTAACTCATTTGGTTAGAGTGTGGTCCCCATATGCTAAGGTTTCGGGTTTGATCCCCAGTCAGGGCACAAACAAGAATCAGCTAATGAATGCATAAATAAGTGGGACAACAAAGCAAGGCTTCTTTCTCTCTCAAAATCAATCAAATTTTAGAAAGAAGATTCTCCAACCTTTCCTTTTATTAGGCTAATATACTTTCAGCACCATTCTGCTTTTTTCTTTACTTGTTTCAACACCTCCCTCTTCATTTTCTCCCAAAGAGTGTTCATTCTTTTATCTAGCCTCAAAAGAAACCTATAAATCATTACTAACTGAACCCTGTGTAATCACGTCTGTGATTCTAACAGATCTTAATTTGTTTTTAATAACATGTTATTTTTACATATTTCATAGTAAATACAATCTTATTCTTTTCTGATGACTTAATGAAACTAATAATCAAACTTAAGAACAAATATAGTTTTCTGGGTCTAAGTGCAGGTTTTGAGAGGGTGTAAACAGATTCTGTCAGAAGCCTCTTCCTGTGAATTCTTTTTTTTTTTTAATCTTCACCTGAGGACATGTTCATTGATTTTTTAGGAGGAGGGGAAGGGAAGGAGAGAGAGAGGGAGAAACCTCGATGTGAGAGAGAAACACTGATTGGTTTCCTCCCACACTCTGGGGCCAGTGATGGAGCCCGGAACATAGGTCTGCGCCCTGACCGGGAATCAAACCAGAGACCTTTTGTCGTGGGCAGTGACACTCCAACCAACCGAGCCACACTGGCCGGGGCCTGTTCCCATGAATTCTTCATGGGCGTTGCAAAAACTAATTGAATAAAGAACTGTTTTGAATATGCATCAGTAGAGTAAGAGGAATGTGTGGTATGAGGATGCCATCCAAGTTCAAGCTGTAACATGTTCTTTATGAGTAATTTGTCCTAATTTGTTGCCATCGTTTTGCAAGCCATTTACCTGCAGGTTCCTCCTCACCTTCTTGAGCTCTACGGATTGGATGTCTGTCCTTACCCAAACTTTTCATCTTCCTCCTGGAATTACTCAAGGGTTCCCCACCTCGGTACATGGCAACGCCATTCCTCTACTAGTTCAAGTCAAAAGTCTTGCAGTTGTTCTTGACTCTGTCTTTCTCTCAAGCAGTACATCTAAAATGACGGCTCTTCTGTATCTATCCAGAATCTTACTACTTCTCGCCGCCTTCACTGACATCCCACCTTGGTCCAGGCTACCCCCATTTTCTTTGCTGTGATTATCATAACAGCCTTCTAACTGGCCTCCCTGCTTCCACCTGTGCCCGCCTCAGTGGAGTCCCAACACAGCATACTTAACATATTTCACACCAGTTCAAGTCTCTGCTCCTAAATTTCCCAGTAGGTTCCCATTTCAGAGCAAAAACCAGAGGCTTTGGACTGGCCTACGCAGCCCTGCATCATCTGTCCATCCAACCACCTCTCTCTGTCCTCAGCTCCTGCCTTTCTTCCTTCACTCACGCTGCTCCAGCCACACTGGTGCCCCTTCTGTTTCTGGAACAACGTGACATGCTCCCACTTCAGGGCCTCTGCACCTGCTGCCTGAAATGCTCTTCCCCCACGTAATTCTGCATGGTGCCTTCCCTCCCTCCTGTCAGGGTTTTTTTATTTATTTATCCCAAAGTCACCTTTTCAAGAAGGCCTCTCGGATGGCTCTACTTAAAATTGTAACCTCCCACTCCCCCAGGACATTCGCTATTTCTATTTACTGACTTATTTTTCTCTGTAGCACTTATCATCACCCAACAGAGTTTGTTTATTTATTTGTCTTTCTTCCCCTTACCAGAAAGTAAGCTCCAAAAGAGCATGGATCTTTTTCCTCCTTCCACTACAGTGTCTTCATTGTCTGAAACAGTGCCTGATACATAGGAAGCACCCAATACATTTTTGTTGAATGAATAAATAAATTTCAGTTTGTCACGAGACCAAGTAACAACGTGGATGTACATG